ACATCGAGCATACCCCGTCCAGCTGGAATGACATCCTTCATGGTATCCAGATAGCCTTCGTCGCTCGAGTAGCTAGGAATTTCAAAGTAACTGACCGCACGCTGCGTCTCGGTCGTGCCATACATGTTGACAATGTTGACATTCGGAGCCAATCCTTGAAGGGAGCGGCAGTCTCTCTTGATGAGGATATCACCCACGAAGAAAGCATGGTGAAGCTCGGGGAATTGAGCTGAGGCACCGCCCACCAGAATCTGACCCATGGCAGGTGTAAGGTGAGTGACAGTAGCGCCGTACTCGCGCATCCATTCGGCGAGCTTCTCATTCTGGATATCCTCGCGAGCAGGAACAAGCAATTGAGCACCCAAGAAAAGAGGGGTAAAGATATCTCTCTGGATCGGATCGTGAGCAATACCGCTCAGCATCGTGAAACGATCGTTAGGGTTGAGCTTGAAAGTCTCCGACATCCACGGAAAGTAGTATGCCAGGGAGAAATGACGACCCCGGACACCCTTGGGCCTGCCCTCGGAGCCGGAGGTGAACGACAAAGTAGGGGTAGAATCCGGACCGACCACGACGCCGACAGATTGAGCCTTCAGATACACTTGTTTGGCCAGCACATCCTGTCCATTGACCAAGCCACCTTCAAGGGTTCCGTCGTCGCGGAGAGCAAGCGCGGGAACCTCAGTACGAAGCTGCAAGTTCTTGTCAATGAATGAGCGGACCTCATCAGACAGCTCACCGGCATCCTTGGTAGCCTTCTCGATGTTGATCAATGCACGAGGACGAGCGACATCCAGGTAGATGCACTGTCTTTCCGGAGGATATGCTGGATCAATGACGGAGAAGGTTGCGCCGGCCTTGAGGATACCCATCACAGCAACCACGAGATCGACACCACGGTAGGCGTAAACCATGACAACCTCGCCCCTCTCAACACCAGCCTGAACCAAGTGATGACCCAGAATGTTAGACGCCTCGTTGATTTGTCTGTATGTAAACTCCCTGTGAGGGGATCGCTCCGACTTGGTCTCGACCACACAAAGCTTGTCGGGATGCTTCTCCGCATTCGCGGCGAAAATCTCATGGATGGCACCACGGAACTTGGACCAGTTCAGATCAGAGGTGGGATCGGGAAGCAATGCCTGCTGATCCTCGGTCATGAAATCAATACGGCCGATGGCCTGTTCCGGGTTGCTGGTCGCATTCTCCACGAGCTTAGCGAGCTGCTTCAATATGGTGGAGATTCTCGCACTGGAGAATAATCTCTGGTTGTAGTAGGCTCCCAACTCGGCCTGAGATGTTGAGTCATCCGAGGCAAGGGCTGGAGCAATGTTGAGGACAAGATCGGTGGTCTCGAAGGTGTTGGCGGGATAGTCTTGGGAGGCAGCGGGTGCGTCATAGGCAGCGAAGCGGAAGAGGGTAGGGGAGCGCTCGGAGCCAGACTTCTCTTGGATGTAGTTTCTTAAGCTGCCCAAAGGTACGATTTCGGAAGCTCCTTCTTCGAAAGCCTACATGAAAACAAGATGAGAATGGGAGGGGACAAGTTTCGTGAACGGAAGACTAGACTATACCTTCTTGACCTTAGTATAGAGTTGGAGGAACGTCTCCGAAGCCTCAATTGGGACCCTGAGAACGAAAGGTCGGCCATCATCGCTGGAACTGGTGCCGATGGCGATGTCCTCATCGCCGGTCAGACGGGCAACGAGAACAACGAAAGCAGTTAGGAAGACAGTGAAACTCGAGGAGGAACCGGAGATCTTCTCGAGGGCTGATTGAGAACCCTGGGACAGCTTAATTGACTCAAAGGCTTCAATTGCTCTCTTGGGAAGCTCCTGCTTGTGGTTGTCGGGATAATCTCTTGTGAGGGGGGAGACAGTAAGATTCTGTAGTCGTTGAGCCCATCGCTCAAGACGCTCCTGTAAGGAGACTGATTCAGCACCCATGATTGCAGTCCAAGTCAATGATTGCAGTCAGGATGGTTGGTGGTGGGGGGGGGAGGGGAAAGAAATGAAGTTTAGTAGTTTATCGATGGGCGAGAGGCGATGAGTCAAGAGGGGCAGGCGAATAAGTGCCGATGTCGGCAGCTTCTCTTTGGGTCCCCACACTGCATACTTACTTTAATGCCTGAGGCTGCGATAGAGTTTCACCGCCTTCGGCGGGGCCCAGCCACATACTCGTACTTACCAGTACCCATATGGCCTAGCCACAAAAAGAGCCTGGAGCGCCTGTAAAAATGGACGGGAGCGGACCCTGAACCGTCTTTACCGCATGCAGCGTAGTACTCAGCTGTAGTTGATCCGTGCCCCCGGTTTGGGGCTTTCCTTATCCTTGGAAACTCCAGGCTCCAGGTTGAGCTCCAGGGCTGCATCGTTGCGCTCAGGTACTGACTTCACACCACTCACTGTACATACCATTCTGAGGGCAAGAACATGATTCCGTTGACCATGGCTTGAAATCTGACTTGACTTGTTGTCGTGACGTCTTCCTACTTTTCCACTCTTTGCTATTATCCACCCCACCCCTAAAAGTGCTGCTGTTCGTATTCGCATCCAGATAGGCCGAAGAAGAGCCTATCATCTTGTCGCACCGCCTTCACTTTTTTCTCACCTCCTATACTCGAACGACTTCTTCCTCTTCTTCCTCCTCCTCCTCCTCCTCCTCCTCCTCTTCTTCTTCTTCTTCTTCTTCGTCTTGTTCTCGACGCTTCGTTCGAGACGGTCTCATCCCTATGTCAGCATGATTCCTCATCGGAGCACGGCTCTTCTGACCATTATTGTTTTTGTCGCTCTTCTATTGATAATCTTCTCCTCCTCCCCAGCTACCAATCCAGCAGTCTCCGGCCCGGCCAGATTTCCTCATCCGAAGCTTCCCTCCTTCCACGACTTGCACCTGCCATCCTTCCGTCCCACCGTTCATACTCCCCCCGAGCCTCAGCCGAATAGCACGAGTGGAGAAACCAGCTGGTTTAGCGATTGGTCATGGATCAATCCTTTTTCGTCCTCCATCACGCTCGACGAGAATCGATCCGTGCTTCCCCCCTTGAGGGACAGACCGTTCATTTACACATATTACGAGCCGAACAAGGGCAATGACGTGGAGGAGAATAATGCTGATGCTCAGCTTCTTCTCGCATGGCGCAGAGCTTGGTATGCTCAAGGATTCCGTCCCGTGATCCTTGGGCGGGGAGAAGCCATGAACAACCAATTCTACGAGCTGGTCCAGCGCGTGAAGTTCAAACCAGAACTTGAAAGCGAAATATTCAAATGGCTTGCTTGGGGACACATGGGCGATGGCTTGCTTGCGGATTGGCATTGTTTCCCCATGGCTAGGTATGACGACGCGCTCTTGTCGTCCCTGCGCCGTGGTTCCGATCCAGCTTTCATCACCCGCTTCGATCGTCTTAGGGGCGCCCTATATTCTGGGGAGAAATCACACATCAACGAGGTGATCAAGCAGGCTCTGAACAAAGTTGATGAGACGTCTACCTCCCTAGTGGGGTTGGCCTCGACCGACCTCTTCAAGGTGGAGGGGGCTGATTCGCTGGCTTTGTACGACTCCTCAACCATCACTAGCCATTACCCAACGATCGCCGAGAAGATAGTGTCGTCTCCGACTGCAGGACGACTGGCATTGGCAGAGTTGATTAACTCGCATCTACACAATACTTTCCAGAATGCCTTCCCAGCAGGTATTGCCATCTTGAAGCCGTTTCCGAAGCACACAACGGCTCTTGTTGAGCCTGCTTTGCGTCTTGCGAAGGCCCTCGTGCAATGCCCGAGCTCTCCTGTACCGCAGTCATGCCCGCCCAACTTACCGAAGTGCCACCCGTGTGATCCGGCGAAGCCAATGCAATTGAGCCAACCAGCCACCTACAGGAACACGACTCGAGTGTTTACCGTCGGGACACTTCCTCACCCTTTTACATTGATTAGTCTGCAGCAGGATTCCACCGACGTGAGCATCCGCCACATCCGGCGCGAGACGGATCGGGATGTATGGTTGACTGAAGTCACCAAAGACCAGTTGGGTCTTGAAATCGGCGGGTTGCCCAGATCTACGGTGTTTAAAAGGGCCGTTGCTGATGATGCTGTCGTTGGAACCTCGCTATGGATGACTGTTGAATCGTTACCCTCTCATGCCGGTCAATCCCTTCCGACTGAGCTGCTGGATGAATTTGAGTGGCAATTTGGCTTCAAGATCCCTCGAGACGGCAAGGTGGACGCCAAGAATGAAGACGAGAAGAAGGAATCTGTGCAACATGCCACTCCGAGTGAGCAGGGAGTTCCAAAGGAATATGAGATTATACAACAGGCTCGCGAAATCATCAAGGCCCAAAAGCCCAACAACCGACCCAACCCCAAGGCTGCTGCAGAAGCCTGGAACCTGGCGGACTCGGAAGTCTGGCGCTTTGTGAGAGCATACCGGTACGTACTACGCAGCATTGGAAGCCGAGGATCCTGAGCTAATCATAGGGTCTTATACAGGGCTCGTAGCGTGGTTGAACGCAAGAAGTGGGAGGAAGACGAGAAAGACTTTGTTGGTGCTCAGCTCAAACAGTAGGATGAGTCAGTGCGCGTGAATGATATCCAGTATTACTTGCATCACCACAGACACGCATGGCATAAGAATTATAATACCTATTTATTTTCAGGCATATTTTAGAGATATGCAATGATCTCTAATGATAAAACTTATCCTCTGCCTCAGTCAAGCTATCCTATCTGGCTGTTGTGGTCTGCCCCTGCAGTTGCTGATCAGACGCCCTAGTCCTGGAAGAACTTATGCATGTTTACTTAGCGTTCCTTCCCCACTATACACTAGTCCTCCGAATAATTTTCTGCATATAGAGCGACACACCCCCTCCCTGTTCCCCTAGCTATCAATGGCACAGTATGAATCCATTCTGACAGCAACATAGAAAGCCATTGTGACTGACTTGGCTATGTTACTGCAGCATGCCTATCAATCTCCTGCCAATACACTCCTTCCAGGAAATTGGAATGGAAGAATTATTAGCGCCCTACCTGCGATGTACTGGGAAGGACCGCCGGTGAGAAAGCGCTCTGTTCTATATCTTCTGATTGATAATCATCTAACTGCTATCTGCATAGTCTTGATGCGCCTGCGTTTTCACTCGCACTCCAGGGCCCAGAAAAGCTGTCGCGTACAGCCCCATACCTATTTCATGTGACATTACAGCGTCTAGACAAGGACAGCAAGACTTGTCTCTTCTCATGGAATCCGCAGGTGCATGGCTTTCTTGCCGATGGCGGATTTATACTTCTTCATCATACCGCGCAAGGCGAATTGAGGCCAGTCGAGTTCCCTGGATGCAATGCACTTCCTCCACTAGAACTTTGGCGCTCTTATCCTCTCAATGAACATGAACCTGGTGGAATTCAGCAGTATTACGACGTCTTCCCCGAGCGTCTTCTCCCACGCCTACAAACTGGAGAACGATATGTACTTTTCTGGCCTGGGTAAAATTATACCTCATGGTGTCTGACCGACGGTACAAGTTTTTATGGCTATATTCCCCCTGCAAAGACCGCCCTCGTTTTGCCAGGCGGCCCATTTCTGTCCTTCACGGTCGAGGATGACGGGGACAAGCCGATGGCGCCAGCGCCATTGTTCGGGTGAGATTCAGTTTTCCCTGCCTGCCTTCTTCCCCGTGCTCTCTTCTAATATTTTGCGTGAACCTCTTCTTTGACATTCCATGGTTGCTGGATTTCAGTCCCTAGTAGGCGAACGTGCTAATATCTCCCATTCTCAGAGCGGAAGAACCCCGTCCCACACTAATCGCAAGAATCGAATGCCATCCCCAGGGCCAGGTTGCCTTGAAGGATGACCTTGTGACTGCGACGCTGCATGTCACTTACGAACGGACCGGTGATGGCAGTGGTAGACCAATTACCTTCAACACTACGGAGACTAAGCCCCAAGCTCTGGGTATGGCGCGATCGGTGGGTAGATATGGAAGGCTTCAGTTGCGGTTGGGGTAGCAATACCTTCTGTGATGATCCGGATATTCAAGTCTCGCCCGGCAGCGATGACAGCTTTGACTGTCTGCATCCGGGCGAAACCTGGTCCAACACCTTTCGATACCCAATGATTACGGATATTGAGAGCAGCGATGGTGGGGTGGCTGAAGCCGGGGAACTGATACGGTGTCTCTTCAAAGGAATCGAGCTTGTTTGGTGGGCTTGGGGAACTCGAGAGGATCATCTGGCGACTGTGGTCACAGTCCCAGCCACCGGAAGCAGGATTGTGCTGGAGCCTAGGCAGCATCCTGTCGTTATCGTTCCTGCCGCGGCTCCAGTTGACTTGAAGTTGGTATAAAATGAAACAACAAATAGAAGTCTAAATCAAATAGAACAATCAAAATTATACCCTCAGAGATTCTACTCGAGTGATTAGCAGACTTGAGATACCTCAATTGGGTGAGCAGATAGACGGCCCGGGGGGCATTAAAACAGTTCATCTTTACACTAGTACCTACCAAGTGCTATTCAGTCTTCATAACGTCTATTATAGAGCATTGACTGACTTATCTCTTCCCAAGCTTTGCCATACTAATTTCAGGGTTGCTACAACCGACAACGGTTCCACCGTTTCAGTATGGCTTCTTACACTCGTCAATGGATCAAGAGTGAAAAGAACACATTTTGGCAATGCCTTGCAGACAGAGAACCAACAAAACCGACTAATATCAGCTTCACGCTCACAAAAGACCAAAGGATGCAGCGATACAATCCACCTGAGAACATTAAACTCCCTTGGATTGCTCTTCAACAGCAACCGGCGGAAGAGCGGTTAAGGCGGTCGACTTGATCGCAGTGGCAGAAACAAACGTTGTAGCGCACCAAACCGAGCGTATAGATTAACCATCACCAGCCAACCATGTCATATGTGGGACTTATTACCTACACAGGTAACAATTAAGTGCCTGCATCAGCAAATGCCCCAGAGGTCAGCCGTGTCTTGGTCGACACGCTACAAGATACTGGGCTCTGGCAAATATGGTATGTAGCCCAATTTGCTAGTTAGTGGTTGTCCCATGGAAACCTGACAGCATCCGTTTAGTCTCAGACTTCAAGAAGGAGAAGAAGGGTGGCACGCGCTTGTGATATATGCCGTGTGCAAAAGATCCGCTGCGATGGTGTTTCGCCTATATGTGGCTCGTGTGAGCGACGGAAAGCGCGATGCTCTTATAACGGCGAGAATCCGAAAAAGACCCACGACCGCCGGCAGAGTCTCTCCAACGTGTTCACCTTACCGGCTCGACTCTAACGTATAACAGATATACTTTTCGACTGAATGATCTTGATTCAAACAACTCATCTACCAGTGCCCGCCTGCAGCTGCGAAACCATCCTCATGGCCGGTTTGCAGATCGCCAGGCACAGGGAGGAATCGGAGATGACAATGTATGTATTGGCCCAGAGCCAGTATCTCTGCTGGAATCCGAGCTGCTGCAACCACTCGCCGAGAGCGAAAACGGTACTACAGCAACAGGTATAATTGCGGGGCATGCTAGTCACTCAACCGAGCAAGATCAGTTCTTCGGAGACTCGTCCATCGCGTCCTTCTTGAGGCAGATTCAGGACTCTGCAGGTTTGCCACCTCCAGCAGTAGAAACTCCGCCGACGAAGACTAATATGCATCTAGAAAACGAAACTGTTCCTTTTTGCTTGCCGAACATAGCTACAAGGTCATTTCCTGTGGCGCCAACACCCAAAGCCGTTGACCTACCGCCACGAGAATTAGCGGATTACTTGCTAGGCTGCTATTATGATAAAATTCACAGTCTATATCCGTTTTTCCACCAGCCTGCCTTTGCTCGCGCATATAGCGCTCTATGGGCGCCCGGGCCTACAGAGGACGTGGATGACTTTGAGAAACGAATAGGATTAGGAGACTCAAGTGTGCCCTGGCCGATATTTCATGCCGGACTGAACATCGTCCTAGCACTAGGCTGCCAATTCTCCTCATTGGATAGGATGACGCGCGAAGCTACCGCGGATGCCTTCTTCCAGCGCTCCCAGAGGTTCTTAAATGGCATCTCCATGGATAAAGGAAGTTTAGCGCTTGTCCAGACACTTTTACTGATGTCATCTTATCTGCAAGGAAGCGAGTCCCCGGCACGGTGCTGGAATACCATTGGCTTTGCATGCAGAATGGCGCAAGCACTCGGAATGCATTCCTTGAGTTCGGATAGATTTAGATCAGCGGCGGAAATCCAAGTCAGAAGACGTGTGTGGCATGGGTGTATCATGCTGGATCTGTAAGCCTCTTCTTCTTCTGTTGACTTTAGAAGCATAAAATCAATCATTCTCGATATCCGCTAACAGAATCTCCACAGAGCGAGCAGCATGATGTTGGGTCGCCCGCCCATGATCCAAGATTCGGCGGTCCCTCTCCCAGCCGCCGTCGATGATGAGGCCCTCGATCAACCGAACCTAGTTTCCAGATTGCCACCCACAGCCTTATCGAGAACAGAATTTTATGTGCGCACGTTGCAGCTGTATAAAATTCTAAGACAAATCCTGGCAAGGATCTTTGCGCCCTGGGAAGGTAGACAGGAGAATCTATCCGAGCAGCCTCAGGCTGAAAGCAGCCAAGCTAGAAATGTGATGGAGCTAGAAGTAGATTTATTGGCTTTTAAGTCAGACCTTCCGGAGCAACTGAACTGGCAAAATGGAGAAATACCGGCCAATACCAGTAAGCAATATTCGCGAGAAAGTTGCTTGCTAAGAGCAAGGTGGGTAACTTGCGAACAATTACCTGACTTCTCTGATTCTGAATCTCTTTGTCAGATTTCTGCAGTATAGAATTCTTCTCCTGCGCCCTACCTTGATCAGGCTCTGTCGGCAAATTCGCGTCTCGCACGCTTCCTCTCTACCGCAATCGTCTTTGGAGTTGCCAAGCGAGATATTTATGGATTTCAGGCTCAGCTGCTCTATTAATTGCGTCAAGGCGGCCATCGAGCTGATACATCTTATGAATGATACCTCGACAACTGAGCTGGCTAGTGTGTGGTGGTATAGTGTATTTTGTAATTACTTCTGACGAGATAATGCATCACTGCACAAGGAATCCCGCTGACTGACTGCTCTGTCTCAGATACCTTTTCCGCCGGAATCGTTCTTGCCCTAGCTCGGACATGCTCCGCTATCAAAGCTAAGTTTGCAGAGTCGACTCTTCAAGATTCTTGGAAAAGCTGCTCTGAGTGCCTAGGAAAGATGAGCTCCCTTACTAAATCTGCTGAGATTGGCAGCCAGAGTCTCAACAAGGTTTTGTTCCTCCTTATGCAGGCTCAGCATGATCCATCTATCATCAACCCAGCCGCCGGTCAAGATCACAGATCACAGCCCCAGAGCCAGGACCTCCATTGCGAAGCGTCAGTGACTGACCTACCTGTGCCTTCTGCGATGGACTTCGGGGAAGCTCTTGGCGTGGATGACGAACAGCGCTTTCTCGGTATGCCGGGCTCGGACATTTTCACCTATCTTCTGGGAGAACCAGGTCTAGCTGGGTCAATGAATGAAACAATGGGTGACGAGGTTTGGCCTACGGCACCTTTGTTTCTGTGAAATCGAGATAGATATTAACATCGGTGTGGGAGGCTTTAAAGGACGCCTCGGGGACGCATCTTAGCCTTTCGAGGCTGACATAGATGTTCTCTAGGGGCTATCAGAGTATATGACTCTGAATAGAGACAAGCTTCTGATACCGGACAAGTCTGAATTACTTATGCGATACGTGCTTGAATGAGCACCACAAACCCAGGTCCGAGAGTCGTCATGTACAAGAATGAATTACCAATTCGACGAAGAGCCCTGGTTTCATGTATGATGAGCTGGGTCTTCTTGTATATCCACTCATAGAAGAACACTACTATAAGCAATCTGAAGCCAGCCTCTCTCTCTTTTACGAGACGCATGGTTCACCATTCAAGCCTCTTAAGTAGCGTGTCTTTCAATAATATGTAAATAAGATCTCTGCTTCAACGGTTCGACTATCCAAAAGTGCAACCAGTAAATCTTCTACGTACTCGATGATCCTCTCGATGTCCTATTTAGCCGAACGCCCATTGTTCAGCTTCATCTGGATTATTTGGAATGTCTGTCGGAACTTGCGCCCTGCAGTCAGCTTGCTGTGCGTAGCACTGAGTAACTAGCTTGATAGTCCTGTACTGTACGTATCCGATACCTTGAATACCGATTATCAACCGTCATTCCACAGACCGGCATCTTCTTCTACCCACCCGGTATTACCAGCCGATACGCCATCCGGTATTTCCCTTTCTTGGAAGCGCACTGATGCCGAGCGACTCATAGAATGCTTGAGAATGAACCACAACTCAAGCATAAGCCATTCTTTGCCTCTATTCACAATGTGCTCGCTATGCTTAAGACGAGGTATAAGAGAGAGCAGTTCTTCTCCTCGAACTCAGTCTTGTCTGTCCAACATTGTATCGTTCTATCTCTCCACTACTGCCTGCTCTTTCTATCCTCTGACCATTGACCGTTGATCCTCTCGTTGTGGATTATGTCCGAGACCATTGAGACGGATGTCTTGATCTCTGGCGGTGGCCCCGTGGGTCTGCTTATTGCTTACTCACTGGCACTACAGGGCGTGGATTCTCTACTCGTCGGTAAAGCACTCCTTACCCTTTCTTCTGTCACAGACATGGCCTAACAATAATGGAAAAGAACGACATGACAAAGCCCACCAAGCGATGTATGGCCGTGCAACAACTCTCTACCCTCGTACCCTCGAGATGTTCGATCAGCTGGGTCTTCTCGATGAACTGAATCAAATCGGTTACGTTGCGCGCAACAGCGTCACCTATCGCAAGGGCAAGCGCGTTACCTCCCGAGGATGGCACATCATGTTCCAGCGCACGTATGGCACCTTTCTTGACTACTGCCTCAACATCCGCCAGAAATACTCCGAAGACGTGATTCGAGGTGCTTATGAGAGCCTCGGATGTAAGCCTTACATCGGATGGAAACTGGATAATTTCGTGGTCGACGACGCTGCGAAGAATGATTATAAAGTGACAGCGAATGTCACTGAGGTCAGCATGGGCAAGAGCCTGACGATGAAAAGGTATTTAATCACTGGACCCGACAAACGAGCATCGATCCCGATTAACATCTGCCAGCAAATACATCGTCGGTGCCGATGGCGGTCATTCCCTTGTGCGTCGTCTCGCCAATATCCCCTTCGAAGGCGATCAGACCGTGTTCAAGTGGATTCGCATTGATGGCTACTTCAAGACCAACATGCCTGATGCCGATGTGGGTTTCGCTTCGATCGAATCCGAGGCCCACGGCAACGTACTCTGGGTCCAGCTGGATCATGGCGTCAAGCGTATCGGCTTCGCGATGACGGCAGAGATGCTCGCCAAATACGGCGACAATTTTACTCTTGAAGACGCCAAGGCGGAGGCCGTCAGAGCTATGGCGCCTTTTTCACTGGAGATCGAATCTGTCGAGTGGTGGACCTTGTACGGGTATGATCATGTCTTGTCTACGCTTTTCAAGTTGCGCAGCCCACTGACCTTCTGCAGTATTGGCCAGCGAGTGGCAGATCAATTCTTCAACAACGATCGAGTCTTGCTGGCCGGCGACGCGTGCCACACGCACTCGTCCGGTGCTGCTCAGGGTATGAACACGGGTATTCATGACGCCGTGAACCTGTCCTGGAAACTGGCCGGCGTTGTCAAGGGCTGGTACGGCGCCGACATGCTGCAGAGCTACGACACGGAGCGTCGTCCGGCCGCACAGTACCTGATTGAGCTCGATAAGGCTTTCTCGGCGACCATCTCCGGCCAAGTCCCGGACAAGTACAAAGGGCACTGCATAGACGCCAACGAACTGTTCACCAAGCTCTTCGATGAGACCATCCACTTCAACATCGGCCTCGGGATCCACTACGACGAGAACCTAATCAACAAGCCCCCGTCGGCGACCATGAACAATGCGGGCTGGAGAGCTCCCGACGCTCTAGTCTATGCCCCCGGCTCGCGCCTGCCCACCCGTCTCTTCCACCTGACCAAGAACACCGGCGTCTGGTCCATCCTGGTCTTCGCTGGACAGCCGGAAAGGACTAAGGCAACCCTGAAGACGGCCGTGGAGGATCTGGGCAAGCTTCGCGTGGCATTGTCTCCTGGGGCCGTTCGTCTCTTGACCCTGGTCTCGCAGGCTTGCAGCGGAGGTGACCATGTCTTTGAGACTCCGAGAGCGGGCAAGCTGTACTACGACGCGGAACGGTCCGCTCATACCGCCTACACCATCTCCGACTATAATGGCGGTCTGGTGGTGGTGCGCCCGGACGGCATCCTGGGCTTCGCGACTCACTTGGATGATGTAGAGGGTGTTGCCGATTACTTCAGGGGCTTCATGAAGTACTGAGTGTGTGTATTTGGGGAGCAGTGTCTTGTTTATCTCGGTGTTTTTATATTCCAGAAAGGGGATTGAAGCGATGTTACGTTATAGACATAGATAGACAATCAGACATAGATATGATAGAAGTTATTTTCTGCTCATAGTTGGGATGTGCCCTAAGTTACTAGACCGGCACGTTCATCGCTACCCTAAAAGGTTAATCAGGTTGGGTTCCTACGGTCGACCATCATCCGTAACTAGATTTGGCCTAGCTTATGCAGCACTGCATTCCGTCGGGGTGAGCTTGAGCCTTGAGCAGTAGAAATCAAGTTTACCACGCTCTTACTCCGTAGAAGATTTGAGATGAGATCATATTTGATCAAGGGCAGTCGAATGAGTCACCGCTTTATCTCTAACTTACTACCTAGTACTTCTTAGTTCCGGAAAGTAGTTAGAAGACAAAGTAATAGTTTGTAAAGCAGTATTTCCATAGATCTTTTATCATATATAATTGTGAATACATAAGTAAAATCAACAAGACTATTGGAGAGTTGTTAAGAAGGCTTCCCCATGTCATTAAGGTATTGGATCAAGGTTCGAAACCCAACATTGTGCCGGTTGGATGGGCAATACTGCCGACGGTTGCCGCCCATCGGACAGTGGCGATCGCCGGGGAAAGGCGATAAAAGCGATAAACCGAGTGGGGAATTTGCCCCCCTTCCCCTTCCCCTGATAAGACCCCATCATCTCTTCATACAACAGCTATTACTAACTAACTTACTGCCTCTCACATCATCGATCGTTTACCTACTCCTTTTTACTATATTGTACGATCCCTGTATGCTACACCCCTCTCCTCCATCTTGGTTCCTTCCTCTCTCGACACTATTCCACAACTTCTACTCCTACTTCATGCCAGCGTTGAGTTAGTTACCCCGCATCAACGCTGGTTCCGAGTGGCGGTTTCTCCACCCTCTAGGAAAATCGCCGCATAGACATTTGTTCGCAGTCCACCACAGCCAACGCAGCAAGATGGCTCCTGGAATACTGAGCTCATCACCACCGACGGTGCCATCCAAGGCCGTCTCGCTGGCCCAGCTTACCGAAGATTGGGACGACACTATTCGGTTCTACCTCAACGGCACCAAGGTTGTCCTCGACTCGATCAACCCCGAAACCACATTATTAGAGTATCTTCGTGGGATCGGTCTGACGGGCACAAAGCTAGGATGTGCAGAGGGTGGCTGTGGTGCCTGTACGGTGGTATGTCTTCTGAAGGAGCCCTTGGATCTGGTCATTGCTAAGTTCAATCAATTCAACGTTAGGTGGTTTCCCATATCAACCCCACCACGAAGAAGCTATATCATGCATCCGTGAATGCTTGCCTTGCCCCGTTGATTAGTGTTGATGGAAAGCATGTTGTCACTGTGGAGGGTATCGGCGACGTGAAGAATCCTCATGCGATCCAGCAACGGCTAGCGGTTGGTAATGGTAGCCAGTGTGGGTTTTGCACTCCTGGAATCGTGATGGTGCGGCACTTCGATATGAGATTGATGGATCATGAGCTAAAACGTTGGATATAGAGTCTTTATGCCCTTTTGCGCAACAACTCCGAGCCATCGGAGCATGACGTGGAAGAGGCTTTCGATGGAAATCTTTGTCGATGCACCGGGTACAGACCGATCTTGGATGCAGCTCAAAGCTTTTCTGCACCGAAAGGCTGCGGAATGTCTTCTGCAAACGGAGGATCAGGGTGCTGTATGGAGAAGAAAGGCGGCTCGGGAGGGTGTTGCAAGGAAACCCCCGCCGCCTCGGTCAAGGACGAGAAGATACAGACCTTCACGCCACCTGAGTTCATCGACTATCGGCCAGACACGGAGCTCATCTTCCCATCTCCTCTTCGAAAGCATCAGTTCCGTGCTTTGGTCCTGGGAAACAAAAAGAAGAAGTGGTACCGGCCAGTTACACTGGAGCAGCTCTTGGAAATTAAGGCGGTGCATCCCGACGCTAAGATTATTGGGGGTAGCACGGAGACGCAGATCGAGATTAAGTTCAAGGCTATGAAGTACAGTGCCTCCGTTTATGTCGGCGACATACAGGATCTACGGCAGTATACACTGCGGGACGACTGTCTCGAGCTTGGTGCCAATGTTTCCCTGACCGACCTCGAGAGAATCTGTGACGAAGCGCTTGATCGATACGGAACTGTGCGCGGGCAGCCATTTAACACCATCAAGAAGCAACTTCGTTACTTTGCTGGAAGACAGATCAGGAATG